GATATTGATAAGGTTGATGTTAATATCTTAGTGAACGAACGGGGTGCTTCAACAGCTTTTCTTTTTAAAGGTCATTCTGAAGGTCAGATCTGGAAATTCAAAATTGCCCTCAAGGTCAGGTTCCATCTTGTGAGTTTCATTTCTTCAACTCCATCTGGATTAAAATGATTATTGCAAAATTGATGTTGCTGTGAAGGTTGTCATGAGCACTTTCTAGAAACCAGGTATCACATAGGGATTAGGTTTGTTCATTCAGCTTATTCTTTGAGAGTTTTTTTTGGGCATTTTTTTTCATGCCATTTTATCATAGTACATGTATATCATTTCGTGATGGTATGTGACAAAATGCTACCTACACTAGAGAACATTAGTGGTTTTAGTATGATGGTAGTTTTTAGTACTCCCACAACAAAAAAATAAATAGAGTGAAGTTAATATTTAGATTGGATGGGAGCCAGTAGAAATATATTTATCAGATCATAATACAATAGATGAACAAAAGATGAAATTTAAGAGAATATTTTAACATCTGTAAAACTGTGTTTTGTTTTTTTAACTCAGTCAAAATCTTAACTCTACATCTTGACTGTCATATCAAGACTTTCTATCTTACATTTTCTTTCTTATAACAATAGAAACTCAACTTTTATGCAATAAATATTTTTTGTTATATTATTAAATTTGCATCGCCTTAAAAGTCTAATAGATACTAGGATATGACAGGATATATACAGGGGTGTATCTAGGAAATGCCTAAGGAAGGGGCCAAAAATGAGGTGTCTCTCTGATACAAGGGTCAAAGCTTCTCAGATTTCAAATGGCCTGAGATAAATTTTGAGCGTTTAGAGGGTTAATTTTCACTTCTAAATCAGACCGGACGGAGATGCCATGGCCCAATTGCCCTTCCCCTAAATATGCTACTGTATGTTTATGATAATAACAAGTGCTGTTCAAAATGAGGGTGATAACTTTTACATACCTTAGACAGACCTGTATCCAAACTTGCCCAAATATGCACTCTTTTGTTCTTGTTGCTAAATGCTTTGTTGGTTGGATAGGTAACTACATTGTATATAATCATAAAATAAAATAGACTAAGTAGATCAAAATGAAATGTAGTTTTAGTCAAACTTTTTTTTATACCTTATTAGGTTGATGCCATGCAGTGTGCAATGATATTTTTCTTTTCTGACTTGGATTGGGTTTTTGGCACTATCTGGCATTGAACCTCTATGCAAGAATACAACTTGCTGTGCCATCATAGCAGAGACTACTTACAGCCATCTCTCCTGGGTTAATAAGTTAATAAATAATTATAGACAAACTGCATATCTAATTCATCTTTTAAAAAGTCATAAAGGGCAACTAATTATTGACCTCGCTCATCTCTGACATATCAAATTACTGGACCAAACCAATTTAAATTTCATTAAAAAGTTGAAGGCATGATAGTACATGTATATGTAAATCTCATATTTTAGTATTCTTACATTGTTATGAATGTATGCTTTAGGCTTGATTAGGCCTTGTGTTGGATTTTTAAAATATTTTTCCTTATAATTTCATGTTCAATTTATGTGTAGATATTTTTATCTGAGCAATTTTGAATAATAAGAGAGTTCAATGGTTGAGTAAAAAATGATAATCACTGTTAAATGACAAATACAATTTAATTCATCCATTTGAAAGAGAATTGTTTGGGTATAAAAAAAACACACATGGTTGTCATTGGGATCCCTTTCACCTTTAAATAATTGAAACTGTTAATATTTGAGTAGAGTGACAAGAGTTGAAGCTTAGATTTCTAAAGAATAGAAATGTTAAGGGCTTTGAGAAGAAGAAAGACACGGCTGTATGCATCGTTGACCACATAGTCTTGGATGTCCTTGATATGTTTTTAATATTTATTTCATAGACAATTACTTACTTCTTGGGGGTGTTTTTATTTTTAACAATCTTATTGTCCATACACTTCAATAGTAGAATCAGTAATTTCTTAATATTTGAATACTAAACAAAAGTCAGATAAATCGATTTCAATAGATGTTATTGAACAGTCGTTAAAATTCGCATGAAAAAAAACTTTGACCTTTCCCACACACCTTGTGGACTTCAAATTCAATGGGATTTAAATACATGAATAGATGTATGAAATTTTTTGAAATAAACAGCTTTTATGTTATAAATATATAAGTTCATTCAATGAAATAGAGTTATTCATATTTTATTACTTGTATTATCTTGTGGCTTGACCTTCAAAACAATTCAAATGATCATATTCTGTCAAAAATATATACTGTGTACCGATACATGTACTCTTAGATATATTATAGTCAGTGATTTTATGGTCATTCATTATGTACTTACCATCAAATAATAATAAACATGTTAATTATGTTAATCATTTCATCTCATTTCTTAACCCTCTCCATTTAGTAAAGAATTGCAATGTTAGTACATTATCTTCTGTTAAATACGGTAAAAGCAATAGTTCTGTTAAATCTTTTGCAAATAGCATCTGTGTTAAATTCGTTTCTCTATTACATGTAAATGGTTCCGTTGCTAGAGGTACATGTATTTCTGTCAGTAGTAATTAGTATTTCAGTAAATTCAGTCACAATTGTTATTTCTGTTAAATCAGTCACAATTGTTATTTCTGTCAATTAGTCACCAGTGGTATTTCTGTTAAATCAGTCACAATTGTTATTTCTGTTAAATCAGTCACAATTGTTATTTATGTTAATTAGTCACCAGTGGTATTTCTGTTAAATCAGTCACAATTGGTATTTCTGTTAAATCAGTCACAATTGTTATTTCTGTTAATTAGTCACCAGTGGTATTTCTGTTAAATCAGTCACCAATGTTATTTCTTTTAATTAGTCACCAGTGGTATTTCTGTTAAATCTGTCACAATTGTTATTTCTGTTAAATCAGTCACAATTGTTATTTATGTTAATTAGTCACCAGTGGTATTTCTGTTAAATCAGTCAAAATTTGTGTTTATGTTAATTAGTCACCAATGGTATTTATGTTATATCAGACACAATTTTATTTATGTTATATCTGTCACAATTGTTATTTATGTTATATCAGTCACAATTATAATTTCTGTTAAATCAGACACAAGTGATATTTCTGTAAATGCAATTAGTTGCTTGTATTATTTCTGTTAAATCAGTTTCATTTTTAAAACTGTTAAATACAGCTAATACAGATGAATTACTACATGCAACTTACATAACAGAAATAATACTTTCACTTATAAATTAGAATGCAATGGTGTCACATATGCAAATACCATTCAGACCTTACTTTAAAAATCTTAGAAATTGTTACCCTCATCAACAAGAACAGATTTAGAAATGTGACATGAAACTCCCTAGTTTAATGTCAAAGAAAAACTTGATTAGTATCTATAATTAAATCACTAATTTATAAAAATGACATTTCCTTGGTTGTCAATATGTCCAGTTCTGGTTCTGACCATAATGGACTGATGGCATGTCCTTTAGTGACATACTATATATAGCAATCTGTCTTACATTTCAGCCATATCTTTCAAATTGTGAATTATTTTCTGTCCAAATTCAACCTATGATTATTTTGGAGCTCTATAATACAATAATTGAGATAAATGATGCCAATTTGAAATGCCGATTTCTGAGCAACGCAAATAGAATTGTTAAAATATGAAATTAAAGATGAATTTGTGTAGAAAGGTCTGATTATTATTTCATTTTGATCGGAAATATTGAAATCTTTATGACATGTTTTGTCGTAAAAACTCCTCAAATGTTGTCGTTAGAGGTAAATTATGACTCAAGTTCTCCTGTTGGAAGCTCACATAATAATTGGACTTGAACATGCAAAGAGTTAAAATTGGATTGAATCTATACGTATGATTGTACAAATGATATATGGTCGCTCGGTTTGTTCAATATTTAATGAATTACTAGGTGTCAATTGCACGAGGCTGTCAAAAAGACAAAACAAGTTGAAACGTTTGAAGAGGAATTATGGAGTGTTTGTCATTTTTCACTGTCTAAAATCTGTGTAGAGGTTTGACCATATTAGGAAGAAGAACCAATCATGTTATAAAGCAGATTGATTGAGCGAGTGGTTGTAATGTTTCTAATATTCTAAGATAAAAGGTCATTTCGAGTTTACTGCCAATCATTATGCCTTGATGTATTAAAACTTCATCCCATTCTGCTGTGGGCTGCTTGCTGATGTTTCTAGGCAACCATCTTTGAAATTTACATTCTTTACCTCTTGTGCTGCTATTGATATGACGTAGAGAGGGAGAATGGTCTTTGATAGTTTTTTTATGTCCGATATTTATTGAAATTTGTTCTGTGTTTTTAATAGAAAATCAATAGAAAGTTCAGTCCATAGAATGATAAAGTGGCTAGTGCCTATAATGATTAAATTGCATCGGACCTGACATACATACTATCACTGATTAGTTTGTCATTGTCATTTAATTTCCTTTTTATGTCTTGTTTTCAAATTTTTGTTAGTTCATTTATTCCCAGTGGACATTCTCCACAGGCTCTTCATTATATTTCTATCTAACGTAATTAGAAACTCTAACTTAGGGCCATACATTATACGTAGAGGCTAATATAAGAAGTTATATTAAAAATCATACATCACTAATTTGTATTTATTTGTTTTTACCCCTTGAAGCTTTGACGTGGTCCAAATCAAAATTAGAAAAAAATATTCTTGAAAAGCATTCATTACTGTAGGACATAATTAATTTCTTATTATAGTATTCTATATCAATCACCCTCCCTCTCTTAAACCCTTCAGTTATATACCATATTTTGGCATTTCCACGCACAATGCTTCAAGGTATTTCTTGCTGTTCATGTTCATTTCAATCAGGCTCTTTTTGATATTTTGAACTTTTACATATATATTTGAATAGTGGGTTAATAAATTTATGATACCAAAATTGATATTTTGTATTAAGGTGTGAATATAGGCTAGGCACGATGTCCAGAGCAAATTATATAGTGAAAAATAGAACAAAAGAATGCATAAGGTATGGGACTCAACAAACTTCTAGTCTTGTCTTTGATACTTTATAGATAATCTGGCATTTACACCCTCTGTCGTCTAGAATAGAATATTTTACGATCAAGAGTTGTTGCCCTTGAAATATTTTAAGTCATTATCGATAAGAATCAAAGCATTTACTGAAACAAAAAGATACAGCATACTGGTTGCAGGCTGTGAAGTGTTAAAAATCTCTAAAAACTTGAAAGAAATTCATTAAAATTTTGATGATTAATTTTTCATTTTCATTGTTTAAACTTGTCAAATGATCAATAGAATTGAGTGAAAATTAATCTGTTTGATAGCATGCAGAATTATTAATATTCACAACCCCATTTTTCATCTTTCGCTAACATCACATATGTAAATTAACGAAATATAAAAAAAGGAATCTCTGTAAATTCTGATCTGATTTATCTCGTCACTGTGTTATGTTTTTCTTGATAAAATTTCATAAAAAGATTATTTAATCATAATATATTGTTACAACGTGTCTTCCACAAAGACAAAGTTTTTTAATAATTTTTTTTTATCTTCAAAATCACTTATTGATATTGACGAACAAAGGAGAACTTTAATTCATTATTATTCAAAGGTTCACATTTGATGTTTCATTATCGAAGCAGTAACTCTGGTTTTTATATTTCATCTTGTGTGTCCAGGCCTGCCATAAAGAACTAAAATAAAACACGATTATTTTATGGCTATTGAATTTTATTTTATACCATACTTTTGAATTCATGGCATGGATATGCCGGCGAACTTTACTTCTTTAAGACTCTTTGATGGTGGAATCACTTGAAAGAAAATTGTCGTACATGAAAAAAGCTAAAATTTAATTATTTTTGTACGCTTATTGGATTGAGGTTTATTGTGCACTTGAACTTTGATGAATAATCTTTGAAGTTTGTCAGATTTGATTTTAACAGGCAGATTTGGAGAGTGTCGAGTGAATAATTAAACATTTCAATTGCACGCTGTGAAATAAATCCAATGAAAGTGAAATTCCTTTGACAGAAATATAATAATTTGTAATTAGAATTCTGTCATTTTATTGTAAGAAAGTCATTTTTATGGTAATTTTCTAATAGATATCTGATTAATATGCTGATTTTATCCAAAGACTTCTCTATCCATTTCTAAATAGCATTCATTCAGATCATCTTATCTAGTTTATTTCTGTGAGATTTTTACTCTGGTATTAACTTGTAATGGACATAAAAGTCCAATTAAAGTCATGTTTCTGTTACTTGTTAGAATGAACTTGATTCTTTATCGTTTGTTGGATTTATTTGAGTTTCAATAAAATTTACTTAAAAGTCATGCCTCTATGATAAATTTAAAGAACTGGCTTTAACATTAATACTGTTGGGATTTTTTGGAACAATTGAATCAACCCACTGCCATAAAAAGAAATGTTCATGGTTGTTCTGTTGAAGCTTATTGCAGATTGGATGAATTTTTATCACCAACTCTTCTGCAGTGCTTAACTTCTTTGGATTGACTACACAGTAAAAAATATCATTGATGCTTTCTTTATTTTCTGTTTAGGGAACTAACCTTCCATAGAGGTTTTTATTTCTGTAACACATGACATCCTTGCTGGTAATGACAAAATTGTAGTCATCTTTTGGAATATTCATATTTTGTTGTTGCTATACAACCTTCCCTTATAACAGTTGCTGGTATGCTGTAAGTTTTAGAAGTCATGTAACAAACAAGAATATATGTGTAATAAGCTTTAAGTTTTGGTTTACCGCAAAGGTAGTCTGAAGATGGCTTGCATCTCAAAACAGAGTTCGTTAAGTCTAAGCCCTTGTTTCAAATTAATTTATATACCAAAAAGAGTTGTTGCTGAAAAATTGATATAAATCCTTGTTTTAGTGGTTTCAATATTCCATAGCCCACTTTCTATGGATTCCAGCTGACTTTAAATTGGGCACATTTGATTTGACATTTAATTCTTAGATCTTTATTTATTTGCAATATAAATTACAATGACTTTCCAGTGGTTACAAAATATCAATAAATGAAATTATCAAAGAATTAAGTACAAAACAAATTGACTGAAACTTAATAGCCTGTATTATAAATGATAGCCAGAAAGAAAATTGTTGAAACAAAAACCCTTCCATAGAAAATCATTGATTTTCAAAAGAATTTCCATTATTTGGAGCTAATGGTTTTCCTGATTTGCATGCTAATACAGCAATCACTGTCAAATATATACATTTCTCTTATTTGCCTGCATGAATTAAGCGATCAGGGCCACAATGTGGTAAATTTGATATAATGACATAGTTATTTGAAGCCTTTACCCTTGACCGCCAATTGGCTGTCCAGGTTGCTATGGTAAACAATTAAATGAATAAGAAACCTTTCTAATGACACAGATTGAAATTAACAACATTTTTTTTGTTAAAGGCAAAAAAGAGAATTTTAATGTTTTGATAATCAAACACAATTATGATTAGCCTATTGTGAAACTCAATCTAACTGCACATTGATTTAGAAAGTGAATAAGTGGCCAAAAGAAAACATATCTGGTAAAAAAAAAAAGCAAAGCTGCAATGAATCAATATGTGTTTGATATTTGAAATCTTGGATAAAAGTTTACTTAATTATTTATTGATTTTCTCATTTTAATTCAATTCTCATCAACCACCTTTTATAATGTTATTTTGTTGTAGTTTGAATTAAAAGTGCTAAAAGCTGCATTCAAACTATGGTAACTGAAGTAAGATAATTGAAATCATACCATATCAATTGAGACAATAAGTTTCCCCCACAATATAATGAAAATTATCATATCACCATTCATTAGACTTCAATTAACAGACTAACATGGAGCTGTAATTAGTTGTGCTTTAACATTGGTAGGATGGTAAACTGGTCATGAAGAACCATGTACTGTCAATTAGAGAATGAAAAATCATATCACAAATAACCATGCTTTTCTTAAATAGATCATCATCCTTAAAAGTAACACTTTATGTCTGGCCCTAATAGTGCCATCTGTATATAATGTCAGGAATCGGTTGGGTTTAATTTGTTGGGCTAACCATCTATTTGCTTCTAAAAAGACGACATTATTTTAAAGATTGTAGATTGTTTATGATTAGTGGAAAAAAAGAAGTCTTTGAGTTTTTTTTGTTTTTTATTTTCTGCTTGAGCAAATTTCATGGCAAGTTGAGTTTAGTAGATAATAGGCACTCATTGAATCTGACTAAGCACACCATATATAATGAGTGAATAATTTAATACGATTTAGAAATTGTTAATTCAAACTCCAATTATCAATGGAATATTAAAATTGACTATCCCTTTTCATTTGTCTGGTTTTAATGCTCAATTCTTCTGGGTTTTCAAACAACTATATTGTTTCTCTTCACAGTTCCTGTTCTATCATTTGATTTCAATAACTTCATTTGTTTAATATTTCAACACCTTTCATTTTGGAGTGGAATTTATTTTTTCGAAAGTCCCTTTGTTTGGTCTCTTGGGTATAAACTGTTTGTGTGTTTCAAACAAAAAAACCCTGAGAGATGGGTGATTTGTACTGTTAAAGTCATACAACATTCATGAGATTTTCCCCTCTATGAAGTGTTTATCGGTATTTATAAAATTTAAATAGATAAAATTCAATTAAATTGGATGTCTTTCAACCGTTGTTTTTTCTGGTCTACAGGGAGTTGAGGAAGGGCTGATGTGAGGTTGTAAAGTTACTGAATATAAACAATTGTCTGGAATTACTAAATTACTAAATTTGTTCATCCAATTGAAACTATAGATACACCTGCTTTAATGTTATAAAAACTTAACTAAGCATATAGATTTTATATATATATTAGTAGAAGCTTCCAGATTATACAACTGTCACTCATGAAAAAATGGCATTAAAATTTGAATGTATGAAATAAGAAAAAGGACAACATCACAACAATAAATAACAAATTATTGTGTATTTTAAGTTAAAATCTGTCAACTTAGATGGCATTTAATAGAATGCTGCATATTCATGTATAAAGTAATGAAATGAATATAGTCTTTCTATCATTTGTTTGACATCTGATAGAGCTCAATCTCAGCCAACCAGAACACATTTAAAAATAAAAATCTGATGTAATTATAGATTCCATGCATATTTACATGATGAGCCTGTGTTCTCACTGAAAACGGATCTATATATTTCACTTCTGTCCTCATTCTAGGCTATACTAGGTCCTTCTTATGGAACCAATCGGGCCCCATTGTGAAAAGTATGCTATATTAGTAAATGAAAACTTTGTTATGAGTGAGGAACGAATGAAGTTACCCACAGTAGAAAATGAAACATTACATGTACAGCTTTAATTCAAATTGAACTTCACACTTCAAAATTATTCATGTCTGCAGTATAACAAATTTAATTGTTGTTTTCAGGGAAAACATGAGTGCCGCTAAAATGGTGGCTGATTCTACCCAATCAGACGAGCCAGCCACCAAGAAAAATAAAATTAATGTTAAGAAAAATAAGAAAGGCAAGAAGACTGCAGAGAAAAAGGTATTGTAGTCAAATTTCTGAATTTAATTCTGAAAATAGATGAGTTATTTAATTGGTTATTGATGTTTTGTGTCAAATTCTAATTAATATCATGTATCATTTCTCTCTAGAAATTTTTATTCTTCACAGCACACAAATCATCTGAAAATAACTTCACAAAACATATTTGAATGTAAATACATGGTTTAAATTGGATTATGCACAGAAATTCTCAAATGTTCTTATAAACCAGGCTGTGGCTTGAAAAAAATACAAGATTTGTTGGCAATTTTTACACATCTAATCATATTATCTATGATATGAATTTGTCAAAAATAAACATTTTGAAGTCTCAGTCGGACATGACTAACTAATTTCAGGCAATCAACAATTGGGTTGTAGGCCCTTGTCACAATTCTGAAAATATCTGGAAATCTCTATGGTGGTTAGTTTCCTCAACATTTCTAGTGAAGTTTAAGGTGTGGCCTTTAAAAAAGATTTGATCATTCTAATGAAACTCGTGTGCTATGATCCTTAGACAGTATATTCACCTTGCTAACTCGAGTATTAAAACTATATACAAGCATTTTCTCTACTATAAAGGAAAACCAGAAATAGAGTTTCTTTTGTTGTACCAATATTTTTGTTGCCCTACTGCCTGTGGCTCAGATGACCTCTGGCAGTATGACATCCTAGTACTATTGCATGAATATATATTTTTATACGTCATAAGTACTCAAATGACCCCAAATTTTGAAATGAAGTGGAGTTTGTGTCCAGGCTACAGAAGACAGGAACCATCATGTATTATGCAATGTGGAAAGTGTGCCAGAACAAATGCATTGATATACCCTTCTTTGATTTCTCTTTCTGTAAAAGACCTTTAATGTATATATGGTTGATAGCACCACATATGCCCTCAGATTATATTCCAATTAGAACTACTATTCATGCTCAAACCTACATCACTGACATGAGAAAAGCTGAAATAGTATAATTTCAGCCTGTGGATAATTGAATCTAGACCTACCAAGGCTTACAAAGAAGCATATGACACACCAAATCACCACTTGTGATAAAATTAGGCTGTGGTTTTAGCTCCTCTGAAAAGAGGAATTTGGTAACCTCTCAACAAGCCCAAAAGAGCACTGATTTTAAAAATTCTATTTCTTTGACCCTTTACTGAAGGAGAAACATACAGATGCTCTCGAGTTTGCAAACTTTAATGTAAATTGATGGAAATATTGGAGTGGTACTCTTCAAAGTTAACAATCTTTAAAAGTATTCAGCTAAAAAATATTAAGTGTTTTCAATTATGTTTTATATTAGATTGATGTATTAAAGGGTATATCTCTAGGTAGAATGTAGAGATGTCGTGATGGGACTCAAAATTGTGAAGTTTAGAAACACCAGTGGGAATGTAGCACAGTTCCATTTGCAGAATCAATTATTGTTTTATGCTGAAAATGAAAAAAAAATATATTATTATATAATTTATATAAATTAAATAAAAATACCAAACTAAATGTTTGCTAAAACTAATTGACACTTAAAATTTAAGTAAAACAAGTATATCATTTTGTTCATCTGTAAACAACATCTGAATGCATTGAAGCTCAAAAAGGGAAAGATGTTTACAACAAAAAAGGGAAAGATGTGTACAGAGATGATTTAATATAACTTTTTAGTCTGTTTAGGACACAAAACAAAACATTTTTCTCAAAATAGCCATTTATTGATGACAAATACATATATACATTTTAACACACTATTGTGTGGAATTTCCCTTTAATTGAAAAAAAGTGAAATTCTTAACCATATGCTAATCATTTATTTATACTTCACATATACTTAACTCAGCTTTCACTATGATAAATTATAATCAATTTGAAATTTAGATTTAACAAAATAGTCAGAACTAAGTTGATTTTACACTCGTTGAAAATAACAGATGTTTGCTGTAAAAACATACACAGTTCATATTCACATTCCATATATCAATTATTTCAATAAATTTATTGCCAAAACTTGTTTGATGAAAACTGTTTTAAGGTACATTTCAGTTTATTTAATATTCATTTCTTCTGTATATTACAATCGCCATACAAAAAATTTTGCAGATGTCCTAAAGAAATTTTTTTTTAGCTTCTTGCTTTGAGAATGGAGACAAGTGAATGTATATTGCAATCGCCATACAAAAAATTTTGCAGATGTCCTAAAGAAATTTTTTTTAAGCTTCTTGCTTTGAGAATGGAGACAAGTGAATTCTGTGAATTAGACCTATCTTTGCTAGCTTAGGGCCAAAGGTTAGATCCTTGCATTGGTTTGGATTGTACCATTTGAATTTTCAATCTGATTTCTTTCAATTAGACTAGGTAGGATGGTAATGGCACTTTTCACTCATTTCAAACTTTCAGAGAATGTTCTAATATTAATCTTTCCATTTTAGGAATTCAAAATTGGAAGAAAATTTAGTCAAGGCAGATTTGTAGTATATTCAATTATTTAAGTTTATATTTTCAGAATAAAAGGAAAGCAGCTAAAGAGGAACCTGTAGATCCTTACCTGGATCTTAGTAAAGAAGTCAGACCAATAGGTGATTACTGGAGGGAACCATCTGAAATGTTGGAGCAAATGTTTGATTCTGTACAAGGTTCCAGTTTAAACATGATATTGCCTGAAGTTTTAATGGTAAGATAATTTGAAGAATTTCAGGTGACTTAAGTATTGTATTTGTTAGCTGTGTCTTAATGAGGATGCATTCAAAAGTCAAGTAACCACAGTGTTTTTATGTTTACAATTACTGAATACAAAAGAGTGTCATTTTATCCCATGTTATTTATGTCATGTGATGGCTGTATACAAAAATATTTTATTTGAAATTCTAATTAGAATGCCTTTTGAACTCTGTATGAGTTAATTGCTTTGCATGCTGTTTATAGTGCTTTTGGCAATTAAAAAAAATATTGAAATTGTTCAGTTAACATTTCATTTCCAACAAAGTCCTCTAGGTGGGTTTCCTGAACAGACATAACAAAGATTTCAATTCAAATTGACTCAATAATGGAGAGACTTTCAAACAAAATATTATTCTATCCAGACCTCTCACTTCCTGAAAACTTTACCACCCTGAGATAGCGTCTGGTTGTTCTTGACTTAGAAAGGCCAATATATATATATAAACCAAAAATATATAATAATATATACAAGGATTTAACTAAAGTGAAGCTGTACTGATTTTCACAAAGTCACTAAATTTTTTCAAGAAGGAAGGGAATGTCATGAATTAAAGATTTCAAACTGGGGAGCATCCAACTCTCAGGATTAAAGCAGAATAATTTAAAGGGCTTATGATTGATGGTTTGTCAAATGCAGTAGAGCAACATTTTATGGTTGAGACAATCTTAAAAAATTTAAATCCCATTCAATAGGAATTTGAAAATCAAAGTCTCAAATATAATGGTCCCAGATTTATGAAATTTAACATCAGTCCTTCAAGGTGATAAATGTCAACAGCCATAGATGTCAATGACGGAATGTAACTGGTAATTTATTGTATGTGGCCTATAATGATATACTCAGTATTTTTACAAAGTGATAGATTAAGTCACAAATGATTAAAAAGGAAATGGTTTTTATTCATTTCAATTTGGTGTCTGAAAACATTCTATGAATATCAAATCTAAGCCAAGAGAATGACTTTTTTATGGTCCACAGACTTGGAATTCTAAAATAATAAAGGATACATTAAATGATTTTATTACGATGCCTCCGAGGTTTTTCCTTTGATACATTTGGAGAAAGACATGATCTAGATATTTAAAGTGTTTCAGTATTGATGCCATATTACCAGAATGAATTGAATGGTTGGTTAACAAACCATTTGGTTCAGATCTTTTTATGATTGTGTTTTGGTCATTTCTGTAATGACAAACAAACTATGATCTGATCTGGTAATTGTTTTTGATCATTGGTTAACTAATTTAACCACTGATTAGTCAACACATGCTGAATCTGAGTGTACATTGGTTGTTGGTTTTCAAATAAAACCAATGCTCGATACTGGTATCTGTTGATGATAATGTTTTGGTTATTGGTTTACCATACTATCTTTTAATGGTTGTGTTTTGGTTGTTGGTTTACAAGTACATTCATTCATACAAGCTTTTTATGATAGTATGTTGGTTGTTGGTTTACAAACTAAACCACTTCCTTTGTATCTGAAACCATATTCTAAAAATCTCTTATTTGCAAAACCTATAATTTCTATGGTTTTTCTTCCTAATTTGTCTCTGATATGTTTTTTTGGAAAGGGAAAACTTTCCTGTAGTATGTGAGTTTATGAGGAAAGAGTTTTACAAACCTGTGGCATAATAATAAAAGTACATTTAGATTTAATTATTGATCAGAAGCTTTAAATTCAGACACATTTCATAGGCTTCACAAGCATTAGACATTGACTTTGATTTTAAATGAAAATGCAGTTTCAGGTTTCAAAAAAAAGACACTAGAAAAATACTTGATCTTTAACACTGAAAGGGTTTCTGGATATTTGGTAACACTTTGACCAATATTCAATAGGAGAGATCGGCCTTGATGTCATAGAGTTGGTTTGTGTATCACATGATGCACAACTTAAACAGTTGTAAGAGTGGTTTGTCCTACCAATTGTCCTGCTCAAGTCATGAATGTGTTCGATTATTAGCATTCCACGGCTAAGCCGATTTCCCCTATAGTCTCTGAAATATAAATTAAAAAATACTCTGTGATAGATATGGTTATGTAGGTGTTCTGTAATATTAAAGTCATTTGATTTCTGTTGAATAATATAGTCCATGCTCTGTAACTAAATTTGTATGCCCTTTAGCCCCTTTTACACAAGTTCCTTATATTGTGTATACCAGAGTGCAATCAAGTATTCTTATTGACATTCCACTAAAATTAAGCAGTCCACGATCTGTTCTCTTTGTATGTAAACAACAATGGCAAAAAACTTTAGTCTATTTTAGGACATGCACAGTAAATCTTTTTCTGAAATACGCCAAATTCATCAAATTGACCAATCTATCATGTCCATTCAGATCAGTAATACACGACCATCTCCTTAGGGCCAGAATAACCACAGTTCTCATAATGCTTACCTGTTAACATTAACACCATAGCGGTTACTCTTTAGATACTACAGATGAAGCTAAGTCAGTTAGATATTGGTCAATTGAAGATTGATATATTCTGGTCTAAAAGTTGGTTCATCTGGTTATAGTCATATGAATATTACAGTATTTATCTCAATTGACACACATCATATCTTTATTTGTATTTTTGTGGTGAATATTGTTTCTCAAGGTAGCTTAACGCGGTTTCCAGTCTGTTTTCACTAGCTATATTGAAGTGATTGAGTTTTTTATGTCTATATTTATCTTAGGATGTCTAGGTAATTATCCAAGTCTGACCCTGACCTGGCGTTTGTCAGCCCGATATTTTCCAATCTTGACCACGTCATCAATAATTTTGATAAAATTTTCATAAGGATATTGGTTTGGAAAGAGACAGACTTAAAAATTGATTAAGTGCCTTGTTGAGATGTGTGAAGTCTAATAAGAAATAAGAGAAGACGCACTGACTAAAGAAAACAAATGAATCATGTCACGAATTAGGATCCTGTCATTTTACGTTATTGCTGAATGGCTCAGATGAAATTTAATTTTCTCAAACACTGATTGGAAATGACAGAAATTCAACAGCTTGATACAGGCGGTTTATGGATAGGAAATCATTACTTCCAAATAGCAGCCAGATAACCAACCAAATTCCGCCATCATTAAGGCATGTTTTTACACAATTTTCCAAAGTGTTAAACCGTCATAATGAGATAAAAGTTTTGGTTATCCTTTTAAATACACTGGATAATAAATTCATGAACAGTGCAAATGAAATTAAAGTTGATCATATGAAATGTCTGGAGTAGTCTATTTTAAAGATAATACAGAGAGAGCAACAAGTTGTTATAGCATCAAAATTTTAAGGTATCTCTGGAAAAAATTGGCAATATTTTCAGAATCAGTTCTGGAAGCTTTCTTTCAATTTCCATCTCACAACCATTGAATTCTTCCAATTTTATCACTACTCATAAGAGTTTGATTTGTTTTATTTGAAAGATATCTTTGGACCCATAAAAATGGTTCTTATCAATTCCAATATTGAACTTTCAATTATTTCATTACATGCCTAAATTTAAGGTCAGATAGGGAGATTTTTGGCTGTGAAGTTCCTGGTCTGGTTTCAACCAGTCAGTTATGAAATTTACCCATATGCTTTAAGGTAAAATCCAGGTGGTTCTTAAATTTAGTGTAAATGGAAAGGAATAGCATTATGCTTTTCTTAAAAAAGGTGGCTTGTTTACATTACCAAAATCCCAAGCTAAATCAGGAGAACAAATGAGGTTAGTAATCTGAAAGCAGTTTAAGTTTTTGGCCTAGAATGGTCTACATTCTCAACTGTCTTCAGATTGAAACTTTGTAGGATAGTTCAGGTAACACATTGTGGCAGTGGGATAGATCAGTCAGAACCGAGAAGGATTCTCATCTGCCTCCTGAAGATAAAAATTGTCTGATGTTACAGCGAGTGATTTCAAAAGTTTCTGTTGGCTTCCAACAACTATCAAGAATTTCAACTCAAAAAGTATTATGACTGCTGTGCAATATAGGTAATCTGTTAGCTGGAAATACTGGTCTGCTTTGTCTTGAACTAATTGTCACACTAACTCTTCTCCACATTGTCATGTCAAACAATATGTCATTAGATCTTTTCACATTGTGTCTTTAATTGACAAAAACACAGCTTTCTAACAATATTTGACATCATAATTATGTCTAGAGGTGTTGAAGTGTGCATTAAAACTGTTTTCATCTTGGGGCAAAATATGGCTTTTCTCTGTTAATTATGCTATAAGACATTGGCCTAAACACTTGACTTTACCTTACTTCTTGACACCAAATATGAAATTACTGGAGGCCATTTACTGCAATTATCATAGAAACATGGTTTTAAATACATTTTTACTTCACTTGTAAAAACAATAGGAATCTTTTAATTTGTAGCTTTGAATTTTGCAGATATATCTTGGCCATAACAGATATAGTTCTGAGGTAGCAGTTTCTATTGGGAGGGTAGTTTCTATTGGGAGGGTAGTTCCTGAGGTAGCAATTTCATTGGAAAGGTAGTTACTGGGCAAAGCAGTCACGTTCTGTGGGAAGATAGTTTACTTTGGGAAGGTAGTTTGTGAGGGAAGCAGTTACATTCAAATGGAAGCAGTTTCTATTGGGAAGGTAGTTTCTGAGGGAATCAGTTATATTCAGATGGAAGCAGTTTCTATTGGGAAGGTAGTAGCTGAGGGAATCAGTTATATTCAAATGGAAGCAGTTTCTATTGGGAAGGTAGTTTGTGAGGGAAGCAGTTAAATTTAGTGGGAAGGCAGTTTCTGAAGGAAGTAGTTTCTGAGGGAAGAAGTTACATTCTGTAGGAAGGTAGTTTCTGAGAAAAGCTGCTACATTCAGTGGGGAAGTAGTTTCTATTGGGAAGGTAGTTTCAGAGGAAAGCAATTAACATTCAATAGAAAGGTAGTTTATTCAATTGGAAGGTAGTTTCTGAGGGAAGCAGTTAAATTCAATTGGAAGGTAGTTTATTCAATTGGAAGGTAGTTTCTGAGGGAAGCAGTTAAATTCAATTGGAAGGTAGTTTATTCAATTGGAAGGTAGTTTCTGAGGGAAGCAGTTAAATTCAATTGGAAGGTAGTTTATTCAATTGGAAGGTAGTTTCTGAGGGAAGCAGTTAAATTCAATTGAAAGGTAGTTTATTCAATTGGAAGGTAGTTTCTGAGGAAAAAAAAAAAAAAAAAAAAAAGTTTCTGAGGGAAGCAGTTAAATTCAGTTTGAAGATAGTTTCTTAGGGATACAGAATTGATATGTGACAGTTTGGTTAAATCTTTAATCCATGACCATTCTTTCAGTGCTACACAAGTGCCAACTTTTGGAACAAACTTTAGTTTATTCTTAGGACTCTGATATTAAATAATGAGTTAAAACATTTCTTGTAGAATATCTAATTGTATTAAAAGCAATCAATTGTCAATATTAATTGAATTATTATTAATATATTGGCCCTGTATAATAGAATATAGGAACTACTAACATCTCCCAGCGAGACCAATCACTCCAAGACTTTCTATTCCATTATTAAATTCTTTATTCAATGACATTAAATTTTAAGACCGTATAAATTCAACTATTGCCTATTTAATGTGATTTAAAGGTCTGAGTATTTTTGTCTAGTCTTCTATTCGGTTTTGTCTAAACTGAATAATAATTGAAATGTTAAGAAAAAAGTAATGGCCTTTTTTAAGATTTGAAGTAATTTTTATTGATTTTTTTTTACATTGTCTAATTGTGGTTTGTTGTTGGTTTTCTTCAGTTGGACTCCCAACTTACTTTTTAATGTTTGAATCCAAATGTTTATAAAAAATGACATGGAAGCTCACAGAGTTGTCTTTTTTATTTCTTGTGCAAGAATGTCCCTAAGTCATTAATCTGCTTATAAGCTTTCAGCTTTGGAGATCTCTCAAAGCTGTGCAGGATTTTTCTGAAAGAACAACAGTCTTCCAAAACTCTGAACTACTGGATTTCTATTGATATTCCATTCATGTGTCCTAACTGTTGGAAGGTATAGAGTTGGACTTGAAAAATGCTGATTAATACAATTAAGAGTTATCTATGTGTAATGCAACTATAGAGTTGTTTATGAGTAATACAACTATAAAGTTGTTTATGAGTAATACAACTATAGAGTTGTTTAAAGTAATGAAGTATAAAATAGTTGTACATGAGTAATACATTGTATATGAGTTGTACTACAATATAGTTTTACATGAGTAATACAACTATAGAGTTGTTTATAAGTAATACAACTATAGAGTTGTTTAGAGTAATGAAGTATGAAAGGGTTGTACATGAGTAATACATTGTATATGTGTTATACTACAATAGACATGTTTATGAGTAATACAACGACAGAATTGTTTATGAGTAATACAATGATAGAATTGTTTATGAATAATACAATGATAGAATTGTTTATGAGTAATACAATAATAGAGTTGTTTATGAGTAATACATCTATAGAGTTGTTTATGAGTAATACAACTATAGAGTTGTTTAGAGTAATGAAGTATGAAAGGGTTGTACATGAGTAATACATTGTATATGTGTTATACTACAATAGACATGTTTATGTGTTATACTACAATAGACATGTTTATGAGTAATACAACGACAGAATTGTTTATGAGTAATACAATGATAGAATTGTTTATGAGTAATACAATGATAGAGTTGTTTATGAGTAATAAATACATCTATAGAGTTGTTTATGAGTAATACAACTATAGAGTTGTTTAGAGTAATGAAGTATGAAAGGGTTGTACATGAGTAATACATTGTATATGTGTTATACTACAATAGAGATGTTTATGAGTAATACAGCTATAGGGTTGTTTATGAGTAATACAATGATAGAGTTATTTAAAGTAATGAAGTATAATAGAGTTGTACATGAGTAATACATTGTATTTAGAGTTATACTACATTAGAGTGTTTATGAGGAATACAATCATAGAGTTGTACATAAGTGTATTACATTGTATATGAGCAATACCAACGTAGAGTTGAGTTCAACAAATTATTTTGACACAATTTTGTTCAGTTGGATGAAGAAGAGTATGGCATAATAATAATTTTAACATGTATTTATAGATGAATCATTCCTTTAATGAAACTTACTCAGTCGGTGATGCTTGTACCTTTGTGCATTCTTGCTGACATTGAAGTGCATTTGAGAAAACATCAAGCATGAAACTTGATTTAGAAAGTTTGTCTTGGTTTATTGGAAAGGTTGATCAGTTTTGATGAAAAAGAAAATGAAGCTTTAATGAAATCGAAAGTAGAATCTTGAAGTAAACATTGGTTGAAACAATCAAAGTTTGAGTGCTTTTGAAATTTAATTTTCTACTTCCACTCGAGGCTCTTGAAGCATTTGAAAAGAAATATGGCTTCATGCTTGTCAATCTCATCTAAATTAAGAGCTGAAGTAAATTTGAAACAATCAATATTGAGAAAATAAAAGGCGTAATTGAATGAAATGTACCTGGCCATTAATATTTGCTGTTTAATTTGACCATAATATATTGTCAAGTATGAATTAGTGAACAAATCATCACAACTTTATTGATTTGCTAATTATTCTGTACCTGATTTTCCTTTAAAACAACACATGAATTATTGATCGATTTTGATTGAAACAATTGATAATAAGCTTTACTCTGACAATCGCGGCCAAACAAACACTCCCAACCAAACACAATCACAAATTCAAATAGCTTGTTAAAATTCATTTGATGACTAAAAAAACAAATTTTGCTTTTAGTCGCATGGATCAATAAATTTTAGCATTTTAAGGAGGCCATATATCATTCTGTCTATGGCATATTCGCTTTATTTCACATAATTTCCTATTAATGAGTTTCTTATTTTCTAATTTGAAAGCCGAGTAGACGAAAGAAATCCAATTAATTGTGAATTTTCTTTGAGTTTTCAATAAATTTGCATAGATTTCTCATAATGCCTTAAGTTGAAATCTAAAAATTCAGGAAATTTCTTGTCTTGATGTGATTCAGGGTATTTGTAAATTTAAATTCTGTAAGTTGGCTTAAAAACTGGCATGAGTTCAGATTCAAAAATTGATTCGCTATTCAAATTTATTCCTTTGTTCCACTTGTACAAAAACATGCAATAGAAATTAGGTTTGAATGTGTTGCATCTTACTAGATCTTTATATAATGTTTCTATACATTATTTTAAAGTGAATATAAATATACAAAGAATAAAACATCAAGTTTATATCATAGAATCAGAAGGCAAAAAATATAACTGATGACTATGAAAAAAATTAAAAACATATAGAAATTTGTTAAATGCTCAAGTAGTGGGAAAGAATTTCTGAATGTCACACTAGACAAAACTTACAATCTTGTAAATTCAGAAATTATGATGTTATGAAACTTGTAAAGCTAAAAATTATGATGCTATGATATTTGTAAAGTTAGAAACTATGATATTATGAAACTTGTAAAGTTAGAAACTATGATATTATGAAACTTGTAAAGTTAGAAACTACGATGTTATGAAACTTGTAAAGTTAGAAACTACGATGTTATGAAACTTGTAAAGTTAGAAACTATGATATTATGAAACTTGTAAAGTTAGAAACTACGATGTTATGAAACTTGTAAAGCTAGAAATTATGATGCTATGATATTTGTAAAGTTAGAAACTATGATATTATGAAACTTGTAAAGTTAGAAACTATGATATTATGAAACTTGTAAAGTTAGAAACTACGATGTTATGAAACTTGTAAAGCTAGAAATTATGATGCTATGATATTTGTAAAGTTAGAAACTATGATATTATGAAACTTGTAAAGCAATAAACTACAATGATATGAAACTTGTAAAGCTAGAAACTATGATGTTATGAAACTTGTAAAGTTAGAAACTACGATGTTATGAAACTTGTAAAGCTAGAAATTATGATGCTATGATATTTGTAAAGTTAGAAACTATGATATTATGAAACTTGTAAAGCAATAAACTACAATGTTATGAAACTTGTAAAGCTAGAAACTATGATGTTATGAAACTTGTAAAGTTAGAAACTATGATGTTATAAAACTTGTAAAGCTAGAAACTATGATGTTATGAAACTTGTAAAGCTAGAAACTATGATGTTATGAAACTTGTAAAGTTAGAAACTATGATGTTATAATCTAAAGTTCTAGAATCTGTGAGGTTATGAAATATGAAAAGCTAGAAACTATGATGTTATGAAACTTGTAAAACTAGAAACTATGATGTTTTGAAACCTGTAAAGATAGTAACTATGATGTTATTAAACTTGTAAAACTAGAAACTATGATGTTTTGAAACCTGTAAAGATAGTAACTATGATGTTATTAAACTTGTAAAACTAGAAACTATGATGTTTTGAAACCTGTAAAGATAGTAACTATGATGTTATTAAACTTGTAAAACTAGAAACTATGATGTTATGAAACCTGAAAAGCTAGAAACTAAGATGTTATGATACCCGAAAAGCTCGAAACTAAGATGTTATGAAACATGAGCAAAGCTAGAAACTATTATGGTATGAAACATGAACAAAGCTAGAAACTATACTGTTACAAATCTTAAAGTGTTATGAAACCTGAAAAAATTCTGTAATAAAGCTATAAAAGCTGAAAGACCTGAACAAAATTAGCAACTTTTTTTATTCTATAACAAAGCTAGAAGTGTTATGATACTAAAAAAGTTTGATAAGTGTAAAAGCTTCAAAACCTATACAAAGTGCTATGAATTCTGAACAATGGAAATTTCAAGATTAAGATGTTGTTTTTCAGAAATTTTAATAATAACATAATGATAAGGACCATAAAATGTAATTTAATTTAATTTTCAGGATATGGACATAAAGGAATTGAAGAGTCAATGTTTAGAACATTTAGAGGTTATGTCCAGAAAGAGAATCTTCAGAATATTAGCAGGTTAGTACCAGTATTCTTAGCTCAGATGGAAGATATCTTAGACGACAATCTGTTCTCAACATCTCATCTGGAATAAATCTTGTGCTTGATCCATGAAAGAGATTCTAAGGAGATTTTGATGCTTTGAATGTGGAGCAGGAACTCTTATACTGAATTCCTATTCCTGTATGTGGTTTGTAGTTCCTGTAATTCAAGAAAAAATGACATCACTATTCCAAGACATTAAGAATGTGTATTTTTTAGTGTGAGCTTGAGGCATCTGTTTTGTAGATTTGTGGATTGAGGGGGAATCAATCTTAATTTAAAAAAAATAAGCACAAATATCTGAAATTGTGCTTCCTTTTAGCTCCTAAAAATCTAAACTGGTCGCCTGACAGATTAGAACCTGTTTGGGTAACATGGCCTATGACTTCCTAAGGTATGAAACTTAAGTCTCACTGATACTCTTTCGTGTAAAACTCTATTTATATGTGATATCAGACCCTTCAAATACCCAATAACAATCTTAATGATATGATAAACATTGTCTGACACTAACCACCTAGAAAATTGTCCAAACATCAACTCATCAAAACATAAACCCGACTAGTAGCCAGACATTGGACAAAAAAAATAGAATATTCTTCTCATGGTTATTTGAAGTTGTTTGACAAATGACTTTCATGATGTTTGTCCTTAAAACCAATTGATTTGTGTAGAAATTAATGTCTGACGTTTTGTCTCAATCTGATTTATTCATGAGTTTAAATATGAGAGGATTAGTCTTGACATGAAGCTTCTTTAACTTTCCACTAATTACAGCCGAATTTATCATATTTATGTATATTCATAGTTCACCCTCTCTTTCATTTAGCATTTAGATTATTTTTTAGCTGAAGATTTTCCAAGGAAATCGGTCTGCCAAAGTCTGAACTCGGACTTAAAAAGAATATTTATTAGTGAATATCTTTAACATCTTTGGAGTAGACTGAAATCATTTAACAAATGTCTTCTCATCAGAAACATAATTGTCCACTTGTATATCGCTGACACCGCACAACTCTGAAGTATGGCACTGTGTCTTTGAACTTTATTCTTAGTCGCATTGGCACGATGAGGATACACTCACTTTCAGGAGTTGCCGTTTTGATCCTGGTATTACCCAAGAATACCCTTTGCTTTAAGTCTTTATGTAATTGCAAAAAAATAAGCTGCCATTTAAGCAATATTTCCTGCATTGCACACAACATTATTGTGAGTTTTTGTACTGAGCTATCTTAGTTTTGTATCAAAGCTATCTTTTTTTTTTTCAGTAACTGACTGAGCTATCTTATTTCAGTATCTGTACCGTGCTTTCTTATCCCACTATCTGTGCTGAGTTACATCATTTCAGTATCTGTACTGAGCTATCTTATTTCAGTTTGAGCTATTTTATTTCAGTATCTGTTCTGAGCTTTCTTATTTCAGTTTCTGTACCGAGCTATCTTTTTTCAGTTTCCGTACTGAGCCATCTTATTTCAGTTGGAGCTATCTAATTTCAGTTTCCGTACCTAGCTAGCTGTCTTATTTGATTTTCTGTACTGAGCTTTCTTATTTCAGTATTATACCAGTCCTCTGATTTTTTCAGTCATTGTGCCTTATTCTATGAATCCAAAATTGAATTCCATTCCATTTAATTTTATTGGCAGTATTTTTAGTAGTCTTTTTGGAAAACTTATTAATACCCTCATCAAACATAAAAAAATGCTTTGATGTATTAATTATCATAGAGACAAATAATGATTGATTTTTTCAATATGATGACATTTTTCATTTATTTTTACAATTCTCTTGTTTATTCCTAATAATTTTATTGAATTCCTCTCATTTTGTAATGGATTTTTTCTCTTTTTGTGATAAATATCATTAATATCATAATGGAAGAACATCAAAAACTTTATTTGAGAACTTAAGTTCAAAATGGAAACAAAACTTGATATTTCTTTCCAAGTCTTGTTAGTGAAATGGATATTTCCAATAAATCAGGAAAATTCAAAACTTTTCTGCCGCTCTGTGACTATCAGGTGGCAGGAACATACTTTGAAAATAATAAGAAAGATTTGAGATCTCGTGTTTGTGGACGCACTATTTACATGTTAAATAGCAATTTTCTCATGGAGAATCAAATTACTTTTTTAAAAAATCTGGAAGAAAAATGACTAATGAGTATTTAGTAGACTAATTTTATTTTCTATTTTTTACTGAGATCTTGAATCATGAGTTGATGAATACTTGGAATACTTGACATTAAATTTGATGAGTTTGTTTGTCTTTTTAGCTTAGTTTTTGACTAATTACGGTGATTTGAAACTGATTAAAATATTAAGATTGATTTTGACACTTTCAATAACATTTCCAAATATGTCATCAAGTACTCAAATTTATACATTTTTTTGATACCTTAATCAGTTAAAGTGGCAATTTCATAAAATCGTTATTTTACGCATGAACATGCAAAAATGAGCAATTTCAATGGACGATCATTGACATAACAGTATTTTTCTATTTCTTTTGGAATTCATTGTTTATCCATGGCTATAGGAATTAATTGTTCAACCATGGCTATTGAAATTCATTGTTAATCCATGGCTATAGAAATTCATTGTTCATCCATGGCTATAGGAATTCATTGTTTATCCATGGCTATAGAAATTTATTGTTCATCCATGACTATAGGAATTAATTGTTCAACCATGGCTATTGAAATTCATTGTTTATCCATGACTATAGGAATTAATTTTTCAACCATGGCTATTGAAATTCATTGTTAATCCATGACTATAGAAATTCATTGTTTATCCATGACTATAGGAATTCATTGTTAAACCATGGCTATAGAAATTCATTGTTTATCCATGACTATAGGAATTCATTGTTAAACCATGGCTATAGAAATTCATTGTTAATCCATGACTATAGGAATTCATTGTTAAACCATGGCTATAGAAATTCATTGTTTATCCATGACTATAGGAATTCATTGTTAAACCATGGCTATAGAAATTCATTGTTTATCCATGACTATAGGAATTCATTATTCATCCAATGCTACATGAATTCATTGTTCATCCAATGCTACATGAATCAAGTGCTCATCTATGGCTATAGGAATTCATTGTTTATCCCTGACTATAGGAATTCATTGTTTATCCATGGCTATAGGAATTCATTGTTAAACCATGGCTATAGAAATATTGTTTATCCATGACTATAGGAATTCATTGTTCATCCATGGCTATAGAAATTCATTGTTTATCCATGACTATAGGAATTCATTATTCATCCAATGCTACATGAATTCATTGTTCATCCAATGCTACATGAATCAAGTGCTCATCTATGGCTATAGGAATTCATTGTTCAACCATGGCTACATGAATTCATTTTCCAACCATGGCTATAGGAATTCATTGTTTATCCATGACTATAGGAATTCATTGTTCATCCATGACTATAGAAATTCATTGTTCATCCAATGCTACATGAATCCAGTGCTCATCTATGGCTATAGGAATTCATTGTTCAACCATGGCTACATGAATTCATTTTCCAACCATGGCTATAGGAATTCATTGTTCATCCATGGCTTCAGGAATTCATTGTTTATCCATGGCTATAGGAATTCATTTTTTTATCCATGGCTTCAGGAATTCATTGTTTATCCATGAATGCATTGTTTATCCATGGCTTCAGGAATTCATTGTTTATCCATGGCTATAGGAATTCACTGTTTATCCATGGCTATAGGAATTCATTGTTTATCCATGGCTATAGGAATTCGTTGTTTATCCATGACTATAGGAATTCAATATAGACAATGTATAAAAAAAATCATTGTTTATCCATGGCTGTCGGTATATGTTACCAGGTATTTGTCTATGGATTCTTGACTCCATCATGACTATAGGAATTGAAATTTACAACTGATAAAATGCATATCAATCAAGGCAAGACTGATCATGCATTAATTTATCAATTTCAATAACTCTCCTATACTTCATCTCTTATCAGTATTTTATCACATTAGATTATGCAGCAAGTAGAATTGAAGCTATTGTTCTGGTGTGTCTATAATGACTGGAAAGTGTTTCTGCTGTATAAAGGGTTAGATGTCATCTGACTCATATACCTTTGATAAATCAAGCTGCTTGCCTAAAGGCATAAATTGATTGTGATTTGACAAGGCTACTTTAAGAGAAAATTAAGTTTAGAAAAGTTGACAGATATGTTAATATTTGTTTCTAATTAATGAGAAAGAAAAGGTGATTAAGTAATTAAGAGATAAGAAACTTGATAGGTGTATTTTACCCGCATTGATTAATTTCTTAACTTTTGAACGATTATTTAGGTTCAAAAATTAACATTCTTGACATATTTTCAGATTAAAAGTAATTTGTACTAGAGACTAATAAAAGAGAAATAGAATAAGGAATTTTTTTTTTAAATTTTAATTTGATGAAGCCTGGGATAATTTGTTTTGTTTATTTCTTTTGGGTTACTTCACTCATACTAAGATCTTTAAGCCTTTATTAGGAATCTATGTTCACCTCTTATACCTCCCTGATCAATAACAGGGTGACCACAAATTCGAAGGAGTTCTGAGATATATGACTGCCTAAATCTCTGGTGATATCAGGTAGAGCTTGATAGAGCAAAGGATTTTCTCAGATCTCAAATGAAGACTCTTGTTATTAGATATTAAGGATCAATGGCTTTCTGACGTGCATATATCTCATCATAACAAACTATAAACAAGTCGGTTACAAAAAATGTGGTAAATGTTGAAATATTTTTCAACTTATAACATAATTTAACTGAGATACAAATTATTATGGGCGTGAAATTCAAATTTCTGAAATGTCTTGATAATATTTAGCCCTTTAATTAATATTAATTGAGCCATTTAGTACGTGACTATATGCACAATATAATATGATTAATTTTTTCCTAAATAAAGGTCAATATTAACTACCCTGTTAGAAAAATTAATTTTCGCTCAATTATGGAAATTATAATGTCTTGTTGAAATTTGGAAATTGATATAGAAAACCAAACTTATAAAAAGTTCAGTGGCTATTATTCTAATTTTCACCACAATTAGAATAGTAAACTTATTAAAGGCGTCTATTAAGTAATTTTCGTCTCGAATAAAATTAATGATATTCAGCTGTTTAATTGCTTGAAAAGAAAAATGCTTCTATTGACTTATTATATTATTAAAGGAATATGTCCATTTATTAAACTTTGTTGAAAAGGAAAATGCTTCTTTTCATCTTCGGATCACACGTACATTTCTTCATATTTTCTACTTTTGTTTTATGCATATTTATATGTTTTCAGAGTACAAATTTATTTATTTTCATCACTTTGGAAAAGGTCGTTCCAAGACTAAAAATTATCTGGATAAGATCATCAAGAATTAAATGGTTGTTTCTTTCTTTTAAAGTAAACTGATTCTTCTTTTAAATAATAACCTTTGTAGAAACCAATTTAATTCATTTTCATCCAGTTTAAATATCAGCTTTGATATGAATTCTTTTCTCTAGAGATATGATACAAAACTTACCTTTTTATAAAAGGAAAATAAATTTTGTTTTTATTGATTGATCTTGATTGATGACATCTGTAATTATAAATTGCCACACCTGTAATTAACAGACCAGAAACACAAATACATTTTTCTAAGCATGTCATCAATATTATAAACTTGTTTAAAAGGGGCTTGTGAACCCTACAGTTTCTTATGAAGATTGTACATGTTGAGGAGAATTCAAATAAGTGTCAAAGTTTCAATTTCAAGAGAATACATAGTATTTTCAATGATATTAAACCCATTTCAATACCCAAAATGTAATGAAATATCATTTTTCCATTCAAAAGAAAATGGCAAATATTTTTTTAAGATTTGTTACAGGGAGAAGTTTGAGGCACCATTGTGGTCATTAGGCTATAGATCTGACAATAGCAATGACATTTTTTGAAGGATTTTCCAATGCTTTTGACAGAATTGAAGACAAGGTCTTGCTTCAGCAATCTTCAGGCAATGACTATGTAAATGTTCCAGTATATGAACATACTCTTGCCTCCATTTCCAGTCCAGAATGGCCTTTTAATTATATGATGATTATAAACTATTATAAATCTAAACAAAGTCAACCATCCAGTTTTCTCTTTTGATCTTGACAATTGATAAGTTAAAACTGTTCAATTTTATTTACCATATAGTAGCTGTCTAAGGTGGATGGATTGATTAAAATATGATAAAAAAAAGTTATGGAATTAGTAGTATTGTGGCAGAATGGAAGTTCAACTAGTGAAGCAGGTTATGCTCAACCTTCTGAAAAACATGCACAAATTTGGGGTCAAATGGGTAGGAATCAGTAAGACTCAAATATTCAAAGTCAGTACTGAAGGTCAGTACATTAAAACCATATTTTCTGAGGGAGACAAGAAAATACTTGAACTGTCTAGTTGACAATTTTTGTGATGTGTTCAACTTCATATTTCCAATCATGAATTATTGAAATCAACAGCCAAAGAGATGGAAAAAAAATCTATTAAAATTTGCTTCAAGTGGAATTGATTTTTGATGAAATTTATATTCTCATTATATTTTTCTGTCTACAATTGATTTTTTTTCCCTCCGATTATCCTTTAATTGAATTCAAATTCTTAACATTTTTGTTGTGTGGTCAAGTATAGTTCAATAGAGAACAAAATTAAAAATGTCTATGGTTAGATGTCTATATTTGATTGTGTCCAGGACTACCAATTTAATTTTTTTTGTGTACATTTAATTAAGGAATCATACCGAGGGCAACCGAGCAAAGAAAATAAAGACCAGATAAATGTACACTACAGTTAAACTGGTGTAGTGATTGGTTTTGGTTTATCCAACAGAAAGAGTTTGATTCCAATTTTACATAGCACTTTTCAATAGTAAAATCTGAGACATGAAATGACAAAATATTAGTAGAAATTGAGTCAGATCTTCATTAATGATATCATAAAGGGACAAAATAATGTTTGAATTCACCAGAGGTCATTAGTGGGTGTAGACTATAGTAGGGGTTCATTGTCCCATCTGAACTATCACATGCTTATTCCATGTCCTACCCATATCAGACAGGGTAAACAGGGTGAAATATCTTTCTGGGTTAATGTCAGACCTATTGTCTGGTAAACAAACCAACATCAAACACATTGTGCCACCCAAACTACCCAGTAAAAAAGAATCTGTTCATACTTGGAGTAGACCTATTGTCTGGTTAACAAACCAGCATCAAACACACTGCACCACCCTAACTACCCAGTAAAAGGAATCTGTTCATACTTGGAGTAGACCTATTGTCTGGTTAACAAACCAGCATCAAACACACTGCATCACCCAAACTACCCAGTAAAAGGAATCTGTTCATGCTTGGAGTAGACCTATTGTCTGGTTAACAAACCAACATCAAACACACTGCACCACCCAATCTACCCAGTAAAAAAGAATCTGTTCATGCTTGGAGTAGACCTATTGTCTGGTTAACAAACCAACATCAAACACACTGCGCCACCCAATCTACCCAGTAAAAAAGAATCTGTTCATGCTTGGAGTTGAATTGCAGTTTTGGTACTAAAGCCACAATATTGACCTTGATATATTAAACAGCACTAGTCACTGGTATAACCATGTATAGTAATTGATTTAGTGATAACAGTGATTGACTGATTACAATTTTCAAATCTAAACTGACCAATTTATTTTGATTGGTATTCATTGTACTCATTCAATCATTTATTTATTTCCTCATTTCCTCTTTCTCTCTCTTCTCCATTAACTTTGAAGATGAGTCCAATGATTTTCTAGTATTCAAATCTCTGTTGATGCATTGTGTATATATAAATATAGCCAGCTAAGAATTTTCTTCTTGTTGATTACCAACTCTTGAGATAAGATAGTACCTTCAGATTTTTATACGCCCACATCGAAAAATATTTAGTATAAGTTATTGCCCTTGTTCTTGAAAATGCGTTCAATTTTTAGCTCGTACACACTAGAAGGCAACAAGGGCAATAACTCGTACTCAATATATTATTCAGTATTGCCCTAAAGAATTCAAAAGTGTATGACTGAAGCTTGAATATTCCATACTGGTGATTGTTAGTCTACTGCTAAATATTTTTACTCATAATCAAAGCTGCCAGTGGGCATATATTACCTTGCCTGGCAAGCTATCTTTCAATTTGAATTCCCTTGACATGGATAAACAAATCAAGGTCCTGTTGGAACAAACCTATTCTTTATCAGCATTTTGTCCAGCAAATTGCCTAAAATATTGAACTAATGAAGGTGCATACAATAGGAAGTAAAACTCCTTTTTATTTAATGTATCAAAGACAAACTAATTATGTACAATAAAGCTGGACATCAAATTAATTTATAAAAGTAATAAAAGATGTGTTATATATTCACTTATATCTTCTATTGGGCTAAAATGAATTTCTCTATTCATCAAAGTATTTTTCTCAACTTTTCTTTCTTCTCATACCAGGGAATTTGTGAAAGCCACAAGCAACAACAAATGATCAGTGTCAGATGCCATTAAGTGTAAAGGGTTTCGTCATGAACTACTCTTTAATTTGATTAGTTAACTTCTAGATTGGTTTAAGAACATGGAAAATTACATGTTAGTACGGCAGTGTAGAAATTGAAGGCGAGATTGGAGTGAAAGAGAATCCATCTTGTTAGTGTCGTAATTGACTTGAGAAGAGAATATCATAATGTGACATTTTAATCAGAAAATTTTCACCTTTATTGAGAACACATTATCATGGGGTTCGGGTCTCGCTTGGCAAGCTTAGAACAAATGTTTACCACACTATTTCAATCTTATTAATGAGAACTGATTCCTCTTGGGTCACACACTTTGGCTTTTTTACATGATAAAACCATGAGGAATATGGCCATAATAGAATGCTGTTATTATATGAAATTAAGTCCTAAATATACAATTGAATAGGATGATATGACTGATAAAAATCTACCATATGTTGAAAATATGTTGGAAAATACCATTCTACTATTAAATTATTCTTTCATTTCCCTGATTTTTAACTGATTTTCTTGTCTCAACCACGATTCTAATCTTAGAATCAGCGCAAATGAAAATTCCTCAATGAGAAATTGACAGAGTTGTTATGGTTTTCATCAAAATTTGAAAATGCTTATTATTGTATTTTCATTATTAGCTCATTTGTAGGATGTAAAACACCCATTTTTTCAAATAGATTTTCAAATGATGTGGTTCGCCCAGTCAAAGATGCAAATCAAGTGCAAGTTTCTTGACAGAAAGCCAAACAAAGTTGAATCATATCGGTTGATGACCATTGTGTCCAGTGCAACTACTATAAGGGTCTTCTACTTCAAGTCCAAACTAATTTATTTTCCTAACTTTTGACTTTTAAAAAGGGAAGACTTTCTAATAGACTGATGCCTTATAAGTTGGTAGTTTAAGTGAAATACTAAATGGCATGGGTTGTGCTAATGTAAAATTTATGATAAAAGTCTAATAATAATGGTCAGTTCCACTTGTATTAGAGTACAAGACCTCATTGATTTTGTCCTCAATTTAATCCTGTTTATTGAATTGGAAATAAGTTGGAAACTTTAAAGGGGGGACAAAGCTATTAAGATAGTCTGGACACCAAGTTGTTCATTTAAAATTATGAAAGATTGGGTCAAGTGGAGTGTTTTTCGATCAATATTATATACTAAGATGAAATTGGTTTTAGCTCTGGTCAGATAATGAAATTAAGCAGCCTGAAGATATTATTTTCAAACTGAATTGCTTCTGAAATATGGTGATGACTATAAGATATTGGTGAAAATTAATGTTTCTTATAGAAATTTTTACACCATCTGATATCTCATTACCAAGTAAATGCTTTTCTTGCTTACTTTGACAGCACTGACCAAGTCATCATGTGTATACAATCTATATCAAAAATGAGGCACTGCATGAAGTTTTTTTTTTGCCCTTAAAAAATTAGATTTAAGTAGACCAGAATTGAGAGAATACAGTTATTCAAAAGAATAAACTATATCAGCTTAAATGACTTTAAAAATATCTAAAATGACCAATTATTTTTGGACTTGGCTGGAAAAGGTGTTCCCATTATCAAGACTTTCAGTAACAAAAAGAAAATAATTGACCAGAAAGCCTAAATTCTGAAACTTTTAAAAAAAAGGTTGATGGGTTGGGGGATTGTCAAAGATCTATCATGTATTAGTGAAATTTGTTTCCAGGAGATGAACCTGATGGTATATCATCATCTGGTACCGAAGATGACGCAGATGTTCCTACTAAATTTTCTGGTGAGTTCTTTTCTCTTGATCACGCAGTTTTCACTTGCACACGGTTTTAAAGCCAACTTAACAGGACATTGCAGTTTGAGGTTCCCTACGAATAATAGGGAAAATTATGAAAATTTATTTTTTATACAGATATGATAATTAGTGCCTATTACATGCTTATCAAGTCATTCTAAGGCTAATTGTTCTATTTTGAAGCTGATACTCCAATTAACATACAAATAATCAGTCAATTGGATTTTGCTGAAAGTGTACATATAGACCTAAAAACATCAAATAATAATAAATAAGAATATATTTTTGTTTATATCTTTTACACTATATTTTGAAACTTGGAAAACTCTCCTAATATCTCCCTTCTTGTGAAAATATGTGATTGAAAACCCATTTAGCAATAAAATAAAGGTGTCATTGATCTTTTATGGAAATCTGCTTCAATAGATATATACATTGTTATTGTAATAAATTCCATTCATTGTCCAAAATTGAAATCGAAACTTGCAAATTTTTAGAAAGCCTACTTGATTTTATTCAAATTTTCACCTTAATTGATCTCTGGCCCTTTCAATCTTAACCTTAAGTTATCGTCTGAATAAGATTTTTTCTAGCTATTTTTTTGTAGCCATGGAGTTCATTTTAATATTCTAGTCATTTGATATAGGTTTTGAAAAGGGCATTCTGTGAAATTTGTTTGAATAGGTGAATAGTTGAATTTTTGAATACTTGACTTTAACAATGTTGAACGTGATCAAGTACTGACATGATTTTTAATAAAATACAAAAACTATTTTAATTTGACTATTTGTGATGAATGGTCATATTTCAACACAATGTTTTCTTTTGAATGATTTATTCTTTTGACTTAAACACTTTGCTGGCCATAAAACATGTTGTTTTGTGGGTGAATTTAAGGGTAGAATAAGAAGTGGTTTAATCTATGATTTATTGGCTGTGATTTCACTCCTTTGTCCAGTTTTAAAATGATTCTATTTTTATGGAAATCATTATGAACAAAGTAGAATATTTTATTCAATGCAAAATGTAGGTTATAAAAATTCAGGTCTTAAAAAGTGACAAGATAATTGCATATTGGGCAATGAACAATGTGATCTTTCCTGGATTGTACATTATAGAAGAAAAGATCTTTCCCGAACTGAACATTAGACAAGACAAGATCTTTCCCGAACTGAACATTAGACAAGACAAGATATTTCCTGGACTGAACATCAGACAAGACAAGATATTTCCTGGACTGAACATAAGACAAGAAGAGATCTTTCCCGAACTGAACATTAGACAAGACAAGATATTTCCTGCACTGTACATTAGACATTAGACAAGAAACGACCTTTCCTGGATTATAGAAGAAAAATCTTTCCCGAACTGAACATTAGACAAGACAAGATCTTTCCTGAACTGAACATTAGACAAGACAAGGTCTTTCCTTACCTGAACATTAGACAAGACAAGATATTTCCTGAACTGAACATTAGACAAGACAAGATTTTTCCTTACCTGAACATTAGACAAGACATGATCTTTCCTGAACTGAACATTAGACAAGACAAGACATTTCCTGGACTGAACATTAGACAAGACAAGATCTTTCCTGGACTGAACATTAGACAAGACAAGATCTTTCCTGGACTGAACATTAGACAAGACAAGATCTTCCCTGAACTGTACATTAAGCAATTATTTTTACTGTATTGAAGTGTGAACAAGCATCTTTTCAAGGATAAGCCAAAATCTCAGATAGATTATTCCTCAGACAAGCCTCCTACCAATGACTTTTCTTTCACTGAACTTTTGAACAAGCATGCCTCTTGCCAATGATCTTATCAAATTGTCTTAAACTCCAATTTATTAAGAAAAAAAGCACATCATATATGATAAATGTATTGTACTTGCAAGAAAAATCTTAACACTATTGCTATATTTATTTGGGGAAGAAGTAAAAGCTGTTGTCACAAGAGTGTTCAATGTTTATGCTTTTAAGTTTATTGAAACATGGCTGAAAGATTTTTAAAATTCAAGCATTCAAGCAGAAATTAGAAGTATAAAGAAATCTCCCTAAAGACTTGTCTATGAATGTTATTTTTATTGAAAGTTTTAAAACTGAAAGATTTCTCCCTGTAGAAATTAAAAATTAGCCAAAAAAAGTCACTCAAATCAATAGAAAGCTATTTCAATAATTCAAAATATAATTAATTTAAAAAGTTTTACCAATTTAATTTGGCTTTGATCTAAATATTTGCTTGTTTTTTCCCTTCTAAATTGAACAGTCCTGATTAACTTAAAAACGATTGCTGCGAAACATTTCAAATGTAAATGTTTTTATTTCACAAATTCACTCTCAAATTGTTTATGACAAAGAAGTTTCTGTTAAAATTTTGTGCAGCAAATTGAATTTTATGCATGGCTTTGATATCCCAGGGGTATGAATTACAAACAGAAAACTACCAGCAATCATCTTTCTCTCCTCACCTCTCTCTCAGACTTTCACAGGTTTGATGGGATCAAAAAATAGAATGAAGATTTCACACATTAATTATTTAAAATGAGAAAGATTTTTCTTCCACCTTGAAAACTTTATTATTAAAGGAGATGTAAGGTCTATATTTCTGGCAATGCTTGGAATTCCATATTTTATTGGCACTAAGGAAACATGAAATAGTCCTTTGAAATTTATGATGTCACTAAGGCCTAATTCTGGCCACATATTCTCGAAATGATCTTAGCGCAAGGATATCCTAGAAACAGATGTTAGGATGTCCGAATGCTAAGAGCGTTCTAAAAATACTTGGCCTGTATTTGTTTAACTGTCTGTTTCTTCCTAAAAACTTAAAATGTATTTCATTCTTTCCTAATCTTGCTGTCATGATTATGATTTTGTATCTGAAACATGTGACAACACATATATAAAGTCCAAATCAGAAGAGCCAGTTTTAAATCTGGTTAACTTTTCACCGAAGCGAACTCACTTTAAAAATAATGGCAAAGTAATACATTTTAAATGGTACTTAGTGGTTGATTTTCCTGTAGACCTCTTAAAAAGTCGTGGATATATGGAAGCAGAGAACAAATATCTATTGTCTGCTATCAAAATATGGAAGTAGGTGTTATACTTCCTTGTTATTTAGCAAACAGGCATTACAAGAAAGTAAAATTAGCTGGAGTGTACCTATTAACCCTAGTTTTGAAATCTCTACCATTCTCTGTGAAATATCGAGATATCAAATTAGGACTAAATCACAACATCCTGCATAAGATAATGAAATTTGAGTGTAATAGATTCTCAGGACGATCAATAATTCAAAGAGATTTGAACCAATTGTGATGGCAAATTGAGCCGTTATGTTGGCCAGTGGTGAGGGCCAGTAGAAAAATTGATTGGAATTTGCCTGACGTCTGTATGTGTAATTTCTGATATTATTTCCTAGTCGTTCTAGGATGACAGTAATTATACTTGATTGAAACTTTTGTTTGCTTTGCCTGGGTCCTGAAACTTGTCAAATTAAAATCCCGTTCTCTCAGACTTGGAAAAATAATATCACAGAATGTACTTGATTTCCAAAACATGGCCAATTTTAATCTTTAATCGTTTTTGTCTAACACTAAAATTGGGACTAAACGAAGATTTATATGCAATCATATTTCTGTGTAAAGTTCTAAATTGGAACTTAATCGTTGAAATGGAATAAGTGTTTCATGTTTATGGTTGAATTTTGTTTTTGTTGGGGTATTTGATTAAATTTGCCTTCAATATTTTATGGCTTTATCTTTTCTTTTTTCTCAATTTAACTTACAGATTTCCTCAATGGCCTAAGATTTTGATTAAAAAATAACATATAATTTCGGTATGGTTTGTACATTTTTCTTGTCAGCCATACTTGAGTTTAAATGGTTGTAGCAGAGTATCTTAATAACCAATTGATCATTCCAACTTGGAAGCGCCAAATGTCTTTTGATATTTCCAAAAAACAGAAAAATAATTTTTTCATCAACATTTATATGTTATTGTTGCTGACTCTTCTGTTGGATAAGGGTGTTCTCAAGGTTATTCTTCAATCCTTGATTTCTTTGAATTTTGGCTCTGTACTATAAAAAGAACTGTGGTGGATGGCACTAAACAGGCATTAAGGTTCATTTTCCTGAACACCTGATGTCGCTCTCTGACTGGGTTTGTATACTCAGCTTTTCTTTTACTTAGTTCACTTAGCTAATATAGTGAATTTGGTATATTAATTATAAAGTCTTGTTGTATTGAAATGTTATTAGTATAACTGATTTGGTTGTGAAATAAAAATTACCCCATGCAATTTGTAGCTACAATCTCACATGAAAAATGACAACACCAAAAAAACAAGTGTTACATCATATGCATTTGAAAATTTTACCTTGAAACTTTCATTTCTTTTCAGTTATTCAAATTCTTTCAATTATTTCTGGCGCCTTTAAGCACATAATGCAAAATTTAAAAAAAAAACACTTAAAGGATGCAGTAGATCAAGTTAGTAGATACCAACAGAAATTCATGTCCCTTTAACAGCTGTTTATCAACTTTACTCCCATTTGGCAATCGAAGTAGGTGTTTGGTTGTTAATTCTACCTCAAATTTGAAATTCCTGAGCAATATTTGGCAACTTAAAGTAAAGTAAAAAGGAGGTCGATACTTTCCCAAAAATGGTTACTTGATAAAGAATGTGAAAAATTAACAAGATAAGTTTAAACAAATTTCAACCTGTCAGTATAACAATAGAGAAAGACAAGGCCGAATATTTGCATATTTAAGTAAACATTTGACCGTGGATGAAAAGCCAACAAAGTCCAGTATTAAAACCAACAGCGGGCAGTGAAATATGCTGGCCAGCTCAATTTCAATGGACACAGTGAAAGCTAAATATTAGCTTAAAGTTTAAGTAGAGAAAATAATATAGCAGATATTATTAAAAGAAAGTGGTCTCTACTGTTCACTATTGTCCACTTATTGTCCAGCTAGC